GATGAATCGTAGCACAGATTTAGGGCAGAACTCAGAACACAACTTTCAAGCAAAAAATATTACTATCTAGGAGGTTAAAAACTTCACGACATAAATTCTACATTATACTGGATTCAATTTTATACTGCTTTCTGTGTAATCGATCGGAAAGGATTTAGGCTTGAGACCACAGAGAATTGTGTGCTAAATTCCTGGAATATAAATAAATTTTAGCGGTCGATAGAGATTGAATTTTGTTAACCGCTGACAACTTGTAGGATATCTGATTGAACAATTCCCGTAACTCAATTAAGAAGAATGCTAGGGAGGAAAACTAGATACTAAGTAATATTTACAAAGATGGCTGCTAGCGTAGATTTAGTGGATTAGTGCACCCTTAACTCTAAACAGTGCTTCATTAATCTGTGGAGATCAGTATGGAGGTCTACTGCACTCCACTCCACTCAGCATAAAGAACAAGATGCAGATTTTCAACACTAAACTAGTCAAGTCAGTGCTTCTATGTGATGGTTCAGAGACTTTGCGCGTTACGAAAAGCATTTCCAACAAACTACAGACATTCATCAACAACTGCCTACGCTGGCTCGTTACTGAAGCTCAGATGAGAAGGCCAGAAAGAATAAGCAACAAGGAACTCACTCTGGTTGGCAACGAACCAACCAAGAAGCCATCGCCCAACAAATATGCAGAAGAAAGTGGAGATGAGTTGGATAGGACATGCACTGAGAAGACCGTTTGGAGACATCACGCACCAGACCAGGCTCTCGAGTGGAAACCAAATGGGAAGCGACGAGTTGGGTGTCTGAGGGTGAAATGGAGGAGATCGTGTGAGGAGGAAATGAGAGCTTGTGGGCAGTCGTGGAGCTAGGTTCAAAAGACTTCAGAGAACAGAGTGAAATGGAGACGTGCTACTGAAGACGTTTGTTCCTGTAGGAGGCACCCAAGATGCAAATATCAATAATCTGAGTTCTAGTTGCTCTAACTAAAGTCAAAGGGGGTTGAGCACTTGTAATTTCGTACTGTCCTTTCGATTGGTAACTTTCATCTGTCCTACTTTCGCCACATGTACGGCACTCTCATTTTACCGTCAACTTCAGCTAAATGCATATGAGCCATTGTTCTAATGTTACTGTAGATGTTATTTGTATAATTTTTTTAAATGGTTACGCAGCCACTTCTGCTTATATGTAACCTCATCTCATTCGTTCGAGACCATTCTTCCCTACGAAACATGTCTCTATTTGGAGGTCATGTTATCAGTTCAACTCCTTTTACATTATAAGATTTCAAATGATTTCTTCAAAATACTGAAATGCTTATATAGAAGAAATCGAATTTTTTTAAAGTGAGCTGGGTTGAATTTTGACTAAATAGAAAATCAATTTTTCTGAAAATGATCATTTCTCAAGAAATGTTCCCTAGTAGGTAACTGATGTAGCTGTTTACTCAGCGCTAACTGATCACTTTTTGCAATGTGGCCTAAGGGATGCCCTGTACTTTAGTGTAAGATGTTGAGAGTCAATCGGTGGGAAGCTATAAGCAGGAACTTATCATCCAGGTCTGTCGGAAAACACAAAAAAAATAGTGTTACGTAAGATTTTTAAATTGTTTATAAGGCGTGTATACATTAAAAAGTGGTGAAGACGTGACAAAGTTAATAGACAGTCAAAGGATTAGGTAATATGAATGAGAGAACAAGTTAAATGGAATAAATTGAAAATGTTTTGTTAAAAGTTGCAACTATTAGGAAGGTCAAATGAAATAACACCGGAAACAATTAAATATAAAAACAAAGTGATAATGACGATATAAGAGTATAAAGATTATTCTGACCAAAAGAGGGGGCAGGGTTGAAAAACGAAAAAGGAACGAAGCACACCATGACTAAAATAAGTTAAGGCCAAAGTGGAGACAAAGACTGCACATACTTCTTTTGCATACAAAGGTGAGACTTCATTCCATGCATAGCCAAGGCCTCGGCTGTTTTTAGAAGCTGAACATGGAGGGAACTTGAGATGTTTGAGCAAATTCGGTAGACAACCTTAAGATCACTGTCAGCGTTCGACTGGATGGTTGGAATCGATTAAATGTTCAAGGATAGAACTTCTGATGTATTTACTTTCACCCTTACAAAATCAGACCGGAATATGTTCTCGTATACGTGTTGGCAACAATCTCTGACTACAGCGTATGAACCTTGCTTCACAGAAGCAGGTGAGTTAGTAGATACACATGCATGTGGACTGCCGAGGCATACTGTCTTTTATGCAATTTATTCCAATTAACTTGTCCCATTCATATTACCTAATTCTTTGATTGTTGATTAACTCTATCACGTTTTCACCCCTTTTTAACCTATACGCACCTTATATACGATTTAAAAGTAGTGTTCCCTCATTGATTCGTATTTTCATCGGTCAGTGCTGAAATCAGAAAAATAACCGCTGCTATTCAGGCGATGAATGACATACTGTGACCGTACACACTCTAATCCTACTGGGGTCAGTCGTGATCTGAATAGATCAGTTGGAAATTCTGTGACCTCAGCATTGTTATAAGCAGCTTCGAATCACTGTGGGGGGAGAGAGACACCTATTTCCTCATGGCTACAGATACGCCTTGCAGAAGAGTGCCAACAAGCATGAAACCTAGGCCCAGGGCTTTCTACCGATTGACTCCTAAAATCTTACAGCCGAGTGATATTCCTACTGTGTTTACAAGATAACCAAAAGAAATCCCTAAAACGGAAGAATACTGAGCAGTCGGTTTTCTAAGTCCAAGACTCAGTAGTAATCTCCCTTAACTACATATTAAAATAATGACTTCCACGTTGAACATGACCAGGTAACTACTTCGTTGCCTTGTCGGCATCGAACAGTTGGCAGTCTTAACCCCAACCGTTTTAAAATCTAATGCGATCATCCTCCAATGTCATCTGTGAGATATGGTTTTCACTACATAATGAGTTGGCTCTGCAGTTCATCGTATCTCATTAGAGCTTTAGGGAACACTTCTTGGAACTGACTGACTGAGAAAATTGACGTAGAACCTCGAACATAGGTGTATCGGCTCAAGTTGTTACACTTCACAGTAGTTCACAAAGAACAGGTGGATAAGAAAGTAGTGATATCAAAGAAGATAAAGTTGTGTGAGACAATAAAGAGTTTGAAGATCAAGATTAGTGCAAATATTCAAGCTTTAGAAGATACTAAGGAGTGAATACAGCTGCGACACTTTGATTGAAGCCAGTAAGAAATGGTAGGTTGGATATTATTCACTTGTGTATTTTGTCTGCAGCTGAGTTTGCACAAAGTGATCTAGATGATAAGGTTTACATAACTATGAAAATTCAGTGGGTTCTCGAACCACACGGATTGAAGGCTAAGACATAACCGTTTTATTCATAGTCAATTAACTAACACATGATCTGTTGAATTAGAAGACCAAAATATAATAACGACAACGATTCTTCGCTCCAACGTTAGCCTTCGGTCAAACAGTTTCTGACTCCCTGAAAATTCACATTGGATTCAGCGTGTATATTTTCGTGTAAGTAACCGATATAACCATACTTTTTTCGTTCACTTTTAAAATGACCAAACAACATTCTATGTGCACACATGTTTAGGAAGATCAGCTTCAATACTAATCTGCATCTCCTTAACTTGAGGTAAATAATCAGTTTTACAGCATCATTCAATGGAAGTGTACTGACTCAATATATTGTAGTGATATGTGACAGGAGATTACGTGTTTTGAAGGGATCAGTACGACTTATTTCTAGTTGTTGAGAGATCTGGCAAATTCGTCAATGTGAATCTTCATTTCAGTGATGTACGTCTCACTTTCTTATCATCTCAGCAACTACATGATATACAAGCAGAAGTGAAACTTGAGCATAACGGTAGAATGTAATTCCATTTTAGTTTGCTTCCTAGATGACGCTTCAGACAAAATCCATTCCTCATATTCATATCATATGAATATAGACAGTGTATTTTATCCGAAAAGTCAACCAGCAAATAATACTGTTGAACTGTGTAGCATATTTAATAAACGGACTAAAATGTATTCTCATATACATTTCGGAATACGGATGAACCTTTGAATGATTATAAAGCAACAAATATTCGTCTTGAAAGGCTTTCTGAAGACTGTCCACAACAATCTCAAAAACAAAGAAGCATCATGAATCGATCATTGTTCAGCTAGCTTGAATAATTGTCCTAAAAGCGGAAAGTACTCTATTTAAGTTAGAAACACCAAACATCATCATCAGCCTGATTATATTGGTATCAAACGTATTCAGCTGATTTCTACCACTAATTTATGGTTTCAGGTAAAGTTGTATTCACCTTGGTGACTAGAAGTGGGATGCAGGACACGTTTCGTCCTATTCGGGACACGTTAGCTATATGTACCTGCACCTCAGTCAATGACGTTCTTTCCACTAAGACTCGAACTGAGTACTAACCGCTTCAAACGCCAAAGCGTTATCCAGTAAGCCACTGGGATACGAGAGCTACTTCTTGTGCAATGGATATCAGTTGTCGTTTGATACTTGTAATTTCCTGTTGTCATACAGAGCCAAACTGCTTGATCTCTGTTGGCGGATGGGCTCCTATGCGGATGCCTTGAAACCACTGGATATTCAAAACGTTATATTCATCGTGGCGAAAGTATTTACTCGCCGATGTAGTTTTTCTTTTGTCCTTGTTATACCAAACACTATATGACATAAGTTCTTGAGAGTTGTATGGACAAACTATTGTAGTAAAGATGAGCTCTTGAATCCTCGGCAAATCAAAGAAGTCAGTCTGCACTTGATGTTCATATACAATATATTAATCTCCATAAGTTTGTAGTTAACGTTGAGTGAATAATTTATTTTAAAAATTGTGCTTGTAGTATAAATCGCTATCAGAAGAACAAACTTTACTTTTCATCTCATCTTACGGTATTCTCAAAATGTATAACATGAGAAACAATGTTTAACCCACCTGCACTAGATGATAATTCAGTCTCTGTTTCCAATAACAACTCCCAAGCCAGTGGAAGCATTTTGGCTAATTGGTCACTCGTGAGTAATAAAGCTGCTTTATTTAGAAGATTGAAACTGCTACTGCAGAGATTCTTAACCTGAAAAAAATTGAATTACAAAAGGTTGATATAAATTCCTTTTATTAAAATAGAATTAATCAATTATGCAACTCAACAACCAATCTGTGGTTAATTTACTTAAGTGTAAGTCATACTTACTTTGCATTAAAACATTATTCCTGGAATCTGAATAAATAAACTGAGTTTAGAACTAAAACATTCAGCAGCATTTCAAAACTTAAGATAAATCATCACAATAACCCGGGGTTTTTTAACAATGTTTATCAGCTTAACCTGTTGCTAACAAAAGAAGTAAAAGTATAAAAACATTTAAAATGCTCTATGAGTTGATTGGTATAGAATATTGGAATGTTAAAGCTGCGTGCAAGATAAAGAGCTGATGAATTTGTAGCATAATAATTTTCCCATTGAATTTATTACGGTACTATAATGTTTCAAAAGTAGCAATTCTGAAAGATGAAAAACATTCTCCAAAAGCATTCAGGCTTTCTTTGAGCAATATGCAACACATCTCAGCATAACGATATACACTGTTGACTTTACGTCAGTTGTTTCACATTTCACGTTAAAAAACAGTGGTTCACCGACAGACAGTCACACATAAACTTAAATTCTCCTTGGATAATGCAGAATCTAGATGTCTCGACTGCTAACACCATGCATGTGAAACATATTTCGAGTAATTTGCATTTTTATGCGAAGGAACTTCTGTTATCTTGTAATCCTAATGACACTGGCGAAAATGTCCATCACTGAACCAAGCCTGACACAAGGGAAACGGTAAACTGAAACAATTTTTTGAAGATGGCGTAGGAATTCGACACTACGATAATACCGATTAAGCCAATTAAAAATTATGAATGACCAATGTAAAGGTATGGTTATATCATAGCGTTCTGCTAAACTTGTTGTTCTTGCTTAGTGAAGGTAGACAGATGCGTGAAGTACTTATTCAAGAACTTACCAAAAGAAGCACTTAGTTCAAAAACTGTCTTGAGAACATTTCATGTTTCATGGCAAAACGTTTCTTGTTGAAAATCTGAATCTTTACAATAGCTCATGTGAAGCCTAAAACCGTTAATACGCATGCCTCTACTCAAAAAATGTTTTATCATACTAAAGGCAAATACTTCGTCAACTTAAGTCTAGAATGTGCGTGCGGTGACCAACATATACCACAAAGAGAAGTATATCATTACAAAAACAAAGCGAAGACCTTCGATAAACGAAAAATATTAGATTTTCGGGAAGAACAATAAGGTTCATAATCACTTATATTAAAGTTCGCACGCAACTGAATAGGAGAGAGTAGCAAATAAAATTTCCGAAAAAAATAGAAAGTAATAATTACCTTCTTATTACTATATGCCCTTAAAAGTCCTATAACTGAAAAATACGTCTTCAGTAGCACGTCTCCATTTCACTCTGTTCTCTGAAGTCTTTTGAACCTAGCTCCACGACTGCCCACAAGCTCTCATTTCCTCCTCACACGATCTCCTCCATTTCACCCTCAGACACCCAACTCGTCGCTTCCCATTTGGTTTCCACTCGAGAGCCTGGTCTGGTGCGTGATGTCTCCAAACGGTCTTCTCAGTGCATGTCCTATCCAACTCATCTCCACTTTCTTCTGCATATTTTGTTGGGCGATGGCTTCTTGGTTGGTTCGTTGCCAACCAGAGTGAGTTCCTTGTTGCTTATTCTTTCTGGCCTTCTCATCTGAGCTTCAGTAACGAGCCAGCGTAGGCAGTTGTTGATGAATGTCTGTAGTTTGTTGGAAATGCTTTTCGTAACGCGCAAAGTCTCTGAACCATCACATAGAAGCACTGACTTGACTAGTTTAGTGTTGAAAATCTGCATCTTGTTCTTTATGCTGAGTGGAGTGGAGTGCAGTAGACCTCCATACTGATCTCCACAGATTAATGAAGCACTGTTTAGAGTTAAGGGTGCACTAATCCACTAAATCTACGCTAGCAGCCATCTTTGTAAATATTACTTAGTATCTAGTTTTCCTCCCTAGCATTCTTCTTAATTGAGTTACGGGAATTGTTCAATCAGATATCCTACAAGTTGTCAGCGGTTAACAAAATTCAATCTCTATCGACCGCTAAAATTTATTTATATTCCAGGAATTTAGCACACAATTCTCTGTGGTCTCAAGCCTAAATCCTTTCCGATCGATTACACAGAAAGCAGTATAAAATTGAATCCAGTATAATGTAGAATTTATGTCGTGAAGTTTTTAACCTCCTAGATAGTAATATTTTTTGCTTGAAAGTTGTGTTCTGAGTTCTGCCCTAAATCTGTGCTACGATTCATCAAAGCTTAGAAAACTTTTTGAATATTAGTATTTGATAATACAGGTGAACTGGTAGAGTTGTCACAAGAGTAATACGAGTATTGATAACACTTGCATAGATTAAGATAAAAACCTAACCAGTTTGTCACTTTGAGTGACAAGTAAACTGTGAATGAATTTAGCTATTATACATTAAGCTGTTTCTTGATAAGTGCTTTTTTGTTTTTAACGTTTGAGTATTTTTATATTTTATGCTGTCTACAGTACAAACCTCAATTGCAACCATCACATAGAAGCATTGACTTCACTAATTTAGTGTTAAAAATCCGAATCTTGTTCTTTATGCTGAGTGGAGTGGAGTGCAGTAGATCTTGGTTGGTTCGTTGCCAACCAGAGTGAGTTCCTTGTTGCTTATTCTTTCTGGCCTTCTCATCTGAGCTTCAGTAACGAGCCAGCGTAGGCAGTTGTTGATGAATGTCTGTAGTTTGTTGGAAATGCTTTTCGTAACGCGCAAAGTCTCTGAACCATCACATAGAAGCACTGACTTGACTAGTTTAGTGTTGAAAATCTGCATCTTGTTCTTTATGCTGAGTGGAGTTGAGTGCAGTAGACCTCCATACTGATCTCCACAGATTAATGAAGCACTGTCTTACTGTCTTTCCGACGCTGGTTTTGACATCCTCGTCTGTGCCTGTGCAGCCCGTAGTAGAAACGATACTGCCTAGGTAGGTGAAAGAGACTACTTCCTTCAGGTTTCTCCCGTTCATGGTTATTGGTGCTTGTTGTTGGTGCTGTTGATGTTGGTTGGGTATCTTCATCACCCCCGTCTTCTCTAAGTTCACCTGAAGGAAGTCCCGTCTTCACTGCCTCTCCTGTCAACTTCTTAGTTTTCGCCTGTAGATCTTCGAGTTTGTGCGATATTAGACATAAATCATCATCGTTGGCGAAATCCAAATCTTCTGGGGTCTTTTGATCGGTCAAACAGCGTATGCCCATCTTCACACAGCTACTCACAGTTTGTTGCATGATCCAGTTCAGTCCACTACAATCAATGCAAAGTATTAGTGAAAACTCACTCTGTTTTTGAAGAAAGCTGAATAGTCGAGCTTTCTGATCGAATTACTCAGTGGTTTTTTCAATTTTCCGATTTACAGAGAGTAGATGCCTCCAGGAAGTTACTAGTCTTTTCATGTTTTGATACATTAGAATGAAGATAAAACAAAGAAATCAAAGTGTCTCGTCGTTATCATACCTGAAGTATGTTTTAACTGACGTTTATCACAGAAGAGCTTTCAGTAACGATTTAGTCAACGTCGATGCAAACCGTGAAAGTAACCGTACATTTGGATGATATTAGCTTGCGATTAACTGTCGTTGCTGTAAGACTGAAATGAAGACAAAAGAGACACCTTCAATCAGCGAGAAAAGTGCCTTGAATAGGCCAAACTTCAGATGGCATTGCAAAAGGATTTTAACAGAGATGCGTTTGTGTTCAGTGCAAACATGCATTAAATTCTCTGCATGCTCCTAAAAGAGGATATCTAATTCAGAGTTAGTTAATGTGTACCGGAGTCATTCTTCGCAATGAACTGTATTCAATCAATATACTCTCGTAACCATAAACATTCAGTTCAACGTATTTAGCTCAAAAAATCTAATGACTAAAGAGAAATAAATTTCTGAAGATGGAATGAAAATTATGCAACCATAACGTAATAATACTTACATGGTTATCCAAATAACACTGAATCGGCAATTCTCCCGAGTGGGGTTTTCGAAATCGAATAGGTCGTCTAGTTTGACCTCTATTACCATCATCATCCTCTTCACAACCTGGCAAAATTTCACTTCCCCCATCTGCTTCAATTCCAAGTAGCGGTGGGTTTAAATTAATGCTTGGACGAGAATTCCTTATTAAACCAGCTCCGGCTCCAGCTAACATCCCTAAATTGATTAGGCCTGTCAAACCGGGTGCATCACTTTCAAATGAACTTGGATTCACTGCACGATAAGAAGATTTCATCCGAATTTTATCCAGGAGATTCATATTTTCACGACTTGAGCTTGACCCGATGAAATTTGACTCCTTTATTCGAAAGTGAAATTACAGTAATAAGTACAGTAGCAAAATGTCTGAAAAGCTACAGCCGATTTGCCTTCTATGGTAACGTTTTACTTACGAGTAGTTAAAGTAGTTATCCTATATTTATCTGACAATTCATATCGGTTCAAAAGAGGATTGCGATCGCCTCATTGCCATTTGGTTAACATTCAATTGCTTGAAACGAACGGTGATGAAACATAGTGATGGTGCTCATGCAACAAACTTCGTATATCAACAGCTGAGAGTTTTGAAAATAGGGTCAGTGGTGTGCGGAGCTAAGTAGTCCCAATAACAGAACGAAACAGTTTTCAAGTCTTGGATGGTTTTTACTCATTCGCTGTCCTACAGATGACTCTCGGTGATGAACACTGCCTTGCAGTATTTAAATCAATAAAAGAATCCAATATTATGCTTATTTCACCAGTGTTATCGACTCATGCTGACTTCAATCCGTTCCCCATCATCCAAGTTAATGTCAAAACAAATACGTCCCAATCAGTGTGAAAAATTCAAATGTATCATACCAGAAATAGAAAAATAAATGCTGGACGACCGATTCGTTCAAACATAATTTTTCTAACGTTTCCCTTTAACAAAGATAAAAAACAGTGAATTAGCCACAAAAACTCGAAAGTTGTTTCGTTATATATTAGTAGCAGGACAGCAACTTAACTAGAGACATGAGCGCAAGATTTCCTCCAGGTTTAATTATGAAAAATGAATGATTTAAGCGCCAAATTACACTTCAGAGCAATCCTCATCGAGGCGATCATTAATATAGTTATCATTTGAACCTTCGGTTCCTCCCACTGCAACATACATCTTCCGTAGCACGTCTCCATTTCACTCTGAATCTGCTCAACTGCTTTTCCAAACACTCCACCCAGCCTTGTATTATTATTATATTATTTCTCCATTATGTACCTCTTACTGGAACATACATCTTCCGTAGCACGTCTCCATTTCACTCTGTTCTCTGAAGTATTTTGAACCTAGCTCCACGACTGCCCACAAGCTCTCATTTCCTCCTCACACGATCTCCTCCATTTCACCCTCAGACACCCAACTCGTCGCTTCCCATTTGGTTTCCGCTCGAGAGCCTGGTCTGATGCGTGATATCAGCCAGCCTGTCCCGGTCGCAGTTTTGAATCCAGCGCATCCTTTAGTCTCTCCAGGATGATGCGGCTTAATATTTTGCTTGGGGTGGATAGGAGCATGATTCCGCGCCAGTTCTTGCAAAGACTTAGGTCTCTTTTCTTTGGGAGTTTGACAAGGTAGCCCTTCTTCTAATCACCAGGTACCTTTTCTCTCTTTCTCCCAGACCTTCTGCAATAGTGGTGTGAGCATGTCCACTGTTGTCCCTGTATCTGTTTTCAGTGCTTCTGTCGGAATTCCATCTGGTCCTGTTGCTTTCCCGGATTTCAGCAACTGTATGGTGTTCAGGATTTTGGCTTTTGTTGGAGGATTTGTGTTCACTGATAGTTCAGTGGCTGGGCTGCTGGTGGTATTTCTGGACGAGTTGCAGGTGGTGATGGTGGTCGATTCAAATGGTCGGCCCATTGTTTCCTTTGTTTCTCCTCCTTGTTAACTAAGTTCCCTTCACTATCCTTCATTGGTTTCATCCGCGTTGATCTCTTCCCGGATAGTAACCTGGTTATTTGATGTAGTGTTGTCAGGACTCTCCTACATGCTTCGTGTTCTGCTTCACTTGTCAGTGTGTCGTGGAAGTGTATTTTGTCTTTACGCTCACTCTTCTTCACTTCTTTCTCCAATGTAGTGTTTTATAGGATGTGTTCAGTTCCTTTTTTCGATGTTCATCCTTGCACTGCACTGCACTGCACTAAATTACACTGGTCCGTCTTCTGTTTCACCATCTTCCTCTCCCTGCTCTATCGGCTCCCATGTATCCATCGAGATCCATTCCTTATCTTCTTTCCTCTTCCTTCCCAATAAGGTTATGCAGGTTTCATTCCACATAGCTTTCAAAGAGTTCCAGTGTTCTTCCACACCCAATCCTTCAGGGATGTTGCTCAATGTCTCGCATTTTGTTCTGATGGCTGCCGTGAAGATTTCTTTTGTAGTTTCGTCCTTCAGTTAGTTTCTGTTCCGGGTGTTGAACTTGAACTGTAGTCTATCACCATCTTCTCTGAAGGCTTCCAACTAGATTCGGAAGGTTCCTTGCACTCGATAGTGAGTGGTGTGGAGCTACATCTGCTCGTCTTCGTTATCTTGTGTCCAGTAGACTGCGTCTCCACTTTCTTCACATTGAGATGAAGTCGATCTGATTTTTAGTGTATTGTGTCCTGGTTTCTGGTGAAATCAACTCCATGTCGCTTTGTGAATATACTTGTGTTTGTACACACTGTCTCCAATCACCAAATCGTTGAATGCCCAGAAGTCTGCAAACAGTTCTCCATTGTCACTCATTTCACCGAGTGCTTCTCGACGCATGATGAGTTCTCTTCCTGTATTGTCCGCTCCCAGTTTGGCATTCATGTCATCTATTAGAATTTTGATGTCATCAACTGGAGTGTAGTCTTGTCCATCACTGATTGCAGTTGTCTGTAGAATTAATCCTTCTCCTCTTGATCTGCATTATTTGTAGGTGCGTAGCGTAGCGTAGCATAGCATAGCATAGCATTGTACGATTGTGACTTTCCTTCCTTTTGCGTTGAACCTTGCTGTCAGGATCCTGGAGGAATCTAGCCTCGTAGGTGTGCGTGAAAGTAAGTGATTGACGTACCACCTACCTCTTGAATCATCTCACTTACACCGGGCGTGTTTGCTGCCCGTGGCTTAGATGAGTTTATATGGCTTCCTACTATTACGAAACGCAGGTTTTGTGTCCTTCTCACTCACAGGTTCTGACCATCAGGGTTCCTGTTACACTTAAGTATTCTGATTTATCTGTCGCACGAGGGACTTATGCGCACCAGTGTTTACGCTATGTTCGAGAATGCACTAATGAGTATCAAGTGGTTACAATGAGCTCTCAGGGACCCAGAGTTCATCAAGAGGACTTTGTGCGAAGCCCCAAGCAGTTCTGCTCGTCCTTTCCATGGTATCCTAATGTTCCAACCAATGAACATCAATATTTTGCGATTTCGCCTAGAATCCTACTCGAGTGTATTTTCCTTTTTAACAAGCATGAAACCTTGATCAAATAGTTATTCCTGCCGATTTACCTCAGATTTAAAAAAAAGCAAGAACTGCATTCGCCATTAGTGTGATTTAGTTTGAGAAAGGATCGTGTAATATGTGTCACTTGAAAAAATAAATCTTGAGGAGAAATTTATTTGGTGACCTAGAATGATTTCGACTTGTATTTGGAAGTAAACAAATAGAGTCTGAGCAACAAGCGTTTTAATTTTGTATCGGGAAAGAAACGTTTTCAAGTGGATTATAAACAAAATTTAGTTATGAGACAACTTGTGCTTCTCTCATAAACTTTCACTGATAAAACTTCTCTTGGATTTTTAAACGATTAAATCTAAAATCGTTCAAGTTCTTCATTTTGCGTTTCTTCCTATGCCCCTATTACTGGTGATTGTGTTGTAATCGTAGCTGGAAGTAACTATTAGTGGTATTTAAACTGCTCGAAGCTTGTTTATCAGATGCAACTGTGTCTCACTGGTGATGTGAACATGAAAACAGATCCCTAAATTGTGAAATTTTACTACCAGAATAAAATTTGAGTACTGTGATGGAGTGTAGTGCTATTATAGTTCCTTTTTATATGCATCACATCATCGAGCAATATTATTTACTGATATTTCGGACAAAATTTAATGCTCATAATCATATTGACGTGATCACACAACTTTCGCATACAGTTTTTATAGATCTCTTGTTACCACTGACCAAATGACTCTTCTGCTACGGTAATACCTGAAGAGAGGAAGTGTTCCACCAGCCTAGCTCCTTCTGTCATCTTGATGGCTAACCCATGCACCATATCAAGGTAGCAGTAGTCGGACTGTATCTATTTTATGAAGGCGTAATAATCTGTTTATTGTTTATAAACATTCGTCGTATATCTGTTTATGAGGTATTTTGAATAAGTTGCAGTGAAATAACCTCAGTTCACCTTATAAATTCACTGTCATTCTTTATAAGAAAATCGAGGACTTGATTTGCTAAGGTTGTCCCATTATTTCTTCATATAAAAGTGGAATATATATAAGTATTAAACATATGTCTATAACCAGTTCACTTTCTAGAAAAGATTAATGATGCAAAAAGTGATCACTTTCCATTAACGTTTATAAGGTGTTTATAGTTAAAAATAATGCACTCAGAAAAACACTGGATTATATTCTGTGCTGCAAGGGTCAAGATGAATGAAGAACTAGTTTTTCCGGCTGTTTTAGGTTTTTTGGCTTCAGAGAAATTTGCTTGGCCCTAAGAATGAACGGTGGGTACATAAGTTTGGTTTATCTAAGGTTTACTCCCACGAAAGTGTATACGCGTATTTTCTGTAAAGTACAACTTCTACAAAGTAATCAGAATCAGTATACGCGTGTTTATAAACTTAATAGGTTAGTAATGAAAAAAAATGTTTGGAGCTCAGAATAAAGATGAAAAATTAGTACTGGTAAATTTATCTATCCGTGTAACAAAACGTCGCCCACCGAATTACACAACTACGAGATATTACCTGTCGCTTCAATTTTACCGGTAATGATGGGTGATGGCTAACAATGGAGTACAATCCCGAGTTCGAGCCCTGATGAGAACAACGTCACTCACTGAGATGTAGCATACTTTCAACTATCTAACGTCAACACTTAAAATTACAAAATATGGCACTGATAAGAACTATGTGGGATTCTGATTAAATATGAGCCCAAATCCCAAACATTCAAACAACATTTAAACGTTTCTAGCCTGTCATGATTAAAAATAATACTCAGATTTTCTGATTCACCATCAGTTTAACTTGCTAAAATAATTGCGACTTGGTCATTTTAATAAAATTAACTGGAAAAAAGTCACGTTTACATGTTAAACTAACTCACCTTTCTTTTTGCAGCTTTGGTGAACAGCTTAGATCTATTTTTTCGAAATTCACTTCCACCTCCTGCTGCCAGTGTTCCCCGCTGCATCAACAAATAATTATTCATATCAGCATCGTTTTCACCTGATTTACTTAACCCGGTTAAACTGTCATTAGAATGAATAACATTTGTAGAACTTTTCAATGTTTTAATTTTGTTTCTCAAACTCTTAGGTTTAATTTGTTGTTGGTGCCCAATATCTGAATCCGACAAATCCTCTGTAGACTCAATGTGCGATGCGTTTTCCTGGTCGGAAGAGTTATCTGAATGGGAAATGTTAAGTTGATTTTGCTGTAATACACTGTGCGATAATGGTGGTGCTGTACCCAAATCACGGGCTGTATTTGATCCACGGTCCAATGTTGTTCCTGTATTTCCTGACAATGTGGCAGTAGTAGTAGTATTCGCGGTAGTACCATTAGCAGCAGAAGTGGTGTTAGTCGGAGAATACAAATACTGACGATCAACAGACAGAACGAATCTGCTCTCAGTTGGTGATTCATAAACTTGCTGTATAGCATTCAACAAATTTCGACACTGATGCTGTTGATGCTCAAAACAGTTTGATGCACATGAGCTCTGATGGTTGCAATTGAAGTTTGTACTGTAGACAGCATAAAATATAAAAATACTCAAAACGTTAAAAACAAAAAAGCACTTATCAAGAAACAGCTTAATGTATAATAGCTAAATTCATTCACAGTTTACTTGTCACTCAAAGTGACAAACTGGTTAGGTTTTTATCTTAATCTATGCAAGTGTTATCAATACTCGTATTACTCTTGTGACAACTCTACCAGTTCACCTGTATTATCAAATACTAATATTCAAAAAGTTTTCTAAGCTTTGATGAATCGTAGCACAGATTTAGGGCAGAACTCAGAACACAACTTTCAAGCAAAAAATATTACTATCTAGGAGGTTAAAAACTTCACGACATAAATTCTACATTATACTGGATTCAATTTTATACTGCTTTCTGTGTAATCGATCGAAAAGGATTTAGGCTTGAGACCACAGAGAATTGTGTGCTAAATTCCTGGAATATAAATAAATTTTAGCGGTCGATAGAGATTGAATTTTGTTAACCGCTGACAACTTGTAGGATATCTGATTGAACAATTCCCGTAACTCAATTAAGAAGAATGCTAGGGAGGAAAACTAGATACTAAGTAATATTTACAAAGATGGCTGCTAGCGTAGATTTAGTGGATTAGTGCACCCTTAACTCTAAACAGTGCTTCATTAATCTGTGGAGATCAGTATGGAGGTCTACTGCACTCCACTCCACTCAGCATAAAGAACAAGATGCAGATTTTCAACACTAAACTAGTCAAGTCAGTGCTTCTATGTGATGGTTCAGAGACTTTGCGCGTTACGAAAAGCATTTCCAACAACTACAGACATTCATCAACAACTGCCTACGCTGGCTCGTTACTGAAGCTCAGATGAGAAGGCCAGAAAGAATAAGCAACAAGGAACTCACTCTGGTTGGCAACGAACCAACCAAGAAGCCATCGCCCAACAAATATGCAGAAGAAAGTGGAGATGAGTTGGATAGGACATGCACTGAGAAGACCGTTTGGAGACATCACGCACCAGACCAGGCTCTCGAGTGGAAACCAAATGGGAAGCGACGAGTTCTCAAGACAGTTTTTGAACTAAGTGCTTCTTTTGGTAAGTTCTTGAATAAGTACTTCACGCATCTGTCTACCTTCACTAAGCAAGAACAACAAGTTTAGCAGAACGCTATGATATAATCATACCTTTACATTGGTCATTCATAATTTTTAATTGGCTTAATCGGTATTATCGTAGTGTCGAATTCCTACGCCATCTTCAAAAAATTGTTTCAGTTTACCGTTTCCCTTGTGTCAGGCTTGGTTCAGTGATGGACATTTTCGCCAGTGTCATTAGGATTACAAGATAACAGAAGTTCCTTCGCATAAAAATGCAAATTACTCGAAATATGTTTCACATGCATGGTGTTAGCAGTCGAGACATCTAGATTCTGCATTATCCAAGGAGAATTTAAGTTTATGTGTGACTGTCTGTCGGTGAACCACTGTTTTTTAACGTGAAATAGCAATTATATATATATATATATATATATATATATATATATATATATATATATATATATATAACTCTAGTGTTCACATAGTAGTGCATATTACAGAACTAACAGAAAACATCAGATGAATTAATTGTACACGGGTTTGAGATACGGTATAATTGCATAGAGAGGCTTTTACTATTCTAACTAAGACATCTGCCGTTCGATCTGCACTCAGGTCCGAATAATCTATAAAATAAGCCTAACCGACACTATTTTAGAAAGGCTGAACTAGGCATCACATTCAAGGATTGGTTTTTGGAAGTGAATACACACAACAGTGATGCCATAGCTTTCCACGGTAGAGAGCGGTCAAATGAAGGCTATGACAAATGGAACGAAATATTTCGTGTAAAAACACAGAGGAAACAACTAATTTAATAATCGAATCCGAGATGTCATTCATTCACATCGATCAATTTTAACACATGACCAGACATTACTGCGTAACGGTTCAAGTTACTACATCTCAATGACACCACACCAATTAACAAGGTAACCAAATGGAAGAGGAAGAAGGAAAGGAAAATCGGATAAAGGGAGTAGGAAGTGGTAAAATAAAGGAGGGTGGAATGAGAAAATGTTTGTTGGTTAAGATGAGGATAGTGTGTATTCATCTGCGCCGCTGGCATCGGCTTTAGAGCCATATCATCCAGAGGTTGCAATCACTGATTTCTCTTGCTCGCGGACTGCAACCAGCTGACCTGCATCACCCCTTATAGCTCAAAACAAGTCACAGATTTTATGCAATTATGCCATATTTTTGTCTTATCACCTCGAGCCTTTTTCCAACCTGAACATTCTTTAGCCAACACAGCGACGAGGCGGAAGGTATTAAGGCATGTGTGGCATATGTTTCAGTGACTCCCAAGCCGATGTAGGTTCACAGTGCCATCAACCGACATACCTCTGCTGCATAAAACTCTACATCTGACTTCCGTATTCCTAACACCGTGACACCACGACGCATGGCCTATGCTACAATGGACGCCTCATGTCCTGTACCCTTAATGGCCATTTTTCACAACCATACAGTAGAACAGAGCGAAATGCATCGTAGTACACTCGGCTCCTAATAGGCAATCGAATATCGAGGCGGCGCCTCATAGGAGGAGTAAGTTGAAACCTGAGATGCAGGTCTGATGAGAGGAGATAGAAGTAGGCATGTCCTTTGAAATTTTTGCTGCAGAGTCATAAAAATATTTATACGACGACTAAGATGCTATCAAGGTACCGAGAGAGAAGTATATAGTTTTATTGATAATTACATTCTCTGAATCTTGGATTTGAAGTCCAGGTAATAAAAGACCTGATCAACATCAAAAGCTTTATTGATGTGGTTGTCAGCGACTGGAAATGACATGCATTTGTTCAGGATTGAAAAGCCTAAGTCCACCACTATCACGAAATCAGGATTTCTTTACATCCACGAGTTAAGCTTTCTCATTCATTGATTCGAAGGTAAGCACTAGATACTGAATTTTATCCTTAAACTTTTGTCGACAGAGCGACTGGTAGCTGCATTTAATATTCACTTTGGCGAAAAATATTTCCTGTGAGATGAAGTCAAGAAGTTATTAACATCCCGGCTATAGATCGAAAGCAAAAAACTCCCAATGATGTTTAGTTACAGGCTGCTGATAAGAAAAGAAAAAAAAGCATGAGTTGTATGTTAGACAGTATGTAATCTGAGCAAAATAAAGCAAGGTTCGGTAAATGTCATAAATGCTTCATGAGCTCTTTTAAGTAAGAAACCAAAGTTTTCTATTTAAACGTTTACTGTACTTCACAGCACTGAGTTTCGAATAATTGATTAAAAAACCTTCTGTTAAGTAAGCATAACTAGAAAGTTCACAGTTAATTAAGTATGAGTAAGGAGAAAAAATTATTTTACTATAGAATTTTTTCCAGTATAATGTCCCAGAATTTGAATCACTTCGTTACAAAAATTAACTTACTAATTTGCGAATTCAATAACAGCATCAATCCACGGCATATGAGATGTGTAATCATATGTATGATACGTTTCATTGTCTCCAGAATTTAACATATGATGTAGAGTATTAGTTTTTAAAGATTTTTTGGATGTAAGTGCAGCAGATACAGAACGTCGAACAGATGTATGTGACTTCATCGCTTCATCCAGCCTAGAATGATGTTCTTGTTTCGATCTTGAACGCAATGGATTCGTGTGCGTTGAAGTTTTGCTAACATGACTCATTCGCACTGAGTTCTGCTCTGTTTCATACCGAACATCCTCTTGAACATCATCCTCATAAACTGGAGTACCAGGATAATCAGTGTAATCATCAAACTTCTCAGCACAAACATCACCACTGCTAGCTCTATTCATTTGACCCAAGTGGTTTGGGTACTGATCAAAACCTGTCAAAAAAGAGATGTTAAAAAGTGTCATTAACTAATAATTTTCACTAGAATGAACAATATCCTGTTTTAACTGACTCATAAAGTATGTTGAAAATTTGAGTCAGATTCGCACAGTTATTCGACTAGTACCTTTGTTCTATGAATATTAACAATCAGATCTTTCTTGCGAGCTCTGTAAACTTGAAGATGCTCCATAGTCAGATAAAAAGAGAGAAAAATAAAATGTTGTGGGGTAACACAAAGCTGATGTTTTAAACTGACTTACCATTAAATAAGTCAGCCCCATGAGATGTGAAGCATCTGAAACTGCCAGAACCTCGAGGACGACGTAGAAGCCCTTTGCTAACCGATAAGCGATCTGTCAGAATAATTAAACAATACTTGCCAATTTGTAGACTTTAACTGTTCAAAAAAGTTTTAGCCATGAAAATCAGAACGGAAAAAAGACCCATAACTTATTTATTTCAGTGCCATTTAGGTTTCCATATGGTCTGCTGATTACCAGAATGATAAACAAGTTTGAACAAAACCAACTACTTTACTCATTGAAATTAAACGCATTAGCGATAAAAATCAATCACCATATGATAACCAGTTCTTATAATATGAACAAATGAAGCAGTCTTCTTCATCATACCAAGCTATTCATAGTGATGGTTACACTGCACAGCTGAATCTATGAACTTTGATTAACGCCACAGTACAATACCGACTAGCAAACAATGACTCATTCGTTAACGCACAATGCAATCTCACAGTGAACAATTCATGGCCGGTACAGAAGAAACCACTTTGGTTGCAGCGCTGTGGTACACAGTTTTCAATTTGAAAGGCCACCTTAGTGATTACTGAAATGATCAGTGAGGTTTATTTTGATTGAAAAGACAATTATAGAAAAATAAAGAGCCTTTATTGGTCAATTTAGCAATAACTAAGGTGGCGTTTTAACTCACATGAAAATAAGTTTGGAAAGGGCTGCTACACACACAGCTAACGATTATCAAGAAGTGCAATAGACAGGTGTAGCTAGAACCTGTTATATGATTTATCCTACAATTCAACATATGTTGCCAGTCACGTTATTCATTCTGTCAACAAGGTAAAAAATAAATGTGCTTATTCTTAGTGTATTCATTTAGGCAGTTTCATCTTGCAGAATGATATGATAACAAATGTTGTGTTAGGAATTGGACCGTTTGTACTGAGACATCATATGAGTGAATATAATGAAATAGTTAGTCGTCGAGATTAAAAACGAACATAATACACAAGGAAATCTTCATATTCAAGCAAGTATACACTGTAATTTTTTTGAAAATCATTAACCTCTAATGGATACAGAATACTAAATCCGAATTTCAAGTGAATTTAAAATAATCAACAAATAAAACAATGATAATTCGCTAAGATTCGTAGGAGCAGTTGTCACCAGAATAATAAAACCGAAACTGTCTATCCAAAATAAGATAATTGTTAGCCTCTAAATTCCATGGTAGTAGTTGGTTTGTTTATTTTCTCAGTATTTGTCCTTACAAAAACGTTTTCAGATATTTTGTATTGTAATCCTATTTTAGAACTGATTTCACAATCAATTCCTATTGTATCTCCACAATTTTGCTATCTGATTCACACCAATTTGACTTTCAATTTTTAACCTCGAATTCATATAATTAACTCATCCCATTCATTTACGTAATATTTTTCAATCAATTTTTCGATTTTGTACATGTAGCGAAATGAAAATCTGACTAGATGAACCAATACTAAATAACTTTGGTTTGAGTTATAGCAGTTCACTTCATTCTTTATCTTTCATAAATTGACGATGTTCCGCTCGATAATTAAGGTATGTGGACGTTGGATTTCTCCTATTTTTATCGTCTGTACGAAGTTGAAAAGAAAGCAATAAAATGGAAGGGATTCGTTGTATCTTGCGACGTTTATTGTTCTTTCTGTGTCGAAATTTTTGAAAGTACCCAATTGTCTGAAATGAAGATTTAACACAGCCACCAGGTGTACAGTATGCGAAATCTTTTTACATTGGTATAAATGTATTATGAATTCAGGATGTTGCAGTGTTTTACTAATAGTGCTGAACAATGTAGATGTATAAACTGTTAAATACAATCGTATAGCTTACGCTGCGATTCATCTGCTTCTAATGACTGATCAAGATAGTTTGCACTTGCAGCTGTAGACTCTGGTGAGTCTTTTGAATCGCCCAGCACTGCAAACTGATACGTCGTGAAGACATGGCCCGACGTCCAGGAACCGACTGATCAGTACCTGAAAAGTTTTGTACGTTATTTTATAAGAGTATGAAGTCAGAAAACCTGACAAACAAAAACGCAGTGCCACATAGAAAATGTAATAAAAACAAAACTTTCTGGCCTAGTTTTATAGTCCTACTGTTTTCTATTTAATTTAATTAGTAGTAAAATTTTTCACTGACTGCATTTGGTGTTGCGGCATTCTTAACACATACGTTAGGTGACAGCACAATAAACAAAACACAAGTTATCAAATTCTTTCTCCACCTTCCTCGATCTCATTCTACTGCGTGACTATGTGCAAGGACGCAAGTTAAGGTCGAGCTCTTTGCTACCTTTCTTACCTTACTGGTGCCTGCCATTCTAGATTTGGTTAAGTTTCTACGTTACGCTAACCTAATTAATTACCAACTAAATCGAAGAATAAAAAAACAAGAGATCTATAAAAACTGTATGCGAAAGTTGTGTGATCACGTCAATATGATTATGAGCATTAAATTTTGTCCGAAATATCAGTAAATAATATTGCTCGATGATGTGATGCATATAAAAAGGAACTATAATAGCACTACACTCCATCACAGTACTCAAATTTTATTCTGGTAGTAAAATTTCACAATTTAGGGATCTGTTTTCATGTTCACATCACCAGTGAGACACAGTTGCATCTGATAAACAAGCTTCGAGCAGTTTAAATACCACTAATAGTTACTTCCAGCTACGATTACAACACAATCACCAGTAATAGGGGCATAGGAAGAAACGCAAAATGAAGAACTTGAACGATTTTAGATTTAATCGTTTAAAAATCCAAGAGAAGTTTTATCAGTGAAAGTTTATGAGAGAAGCACAAGTTGTCTCATAACTAAATTTTGTTTATAATCCACTTGAAAACGTTTCTTTCCCGATACAAAATTAAAACGCTTGTTGCTCAGACTCTATTTGTTTACTTCCAAATACAAGTCGAAATCATTCTAGGTCACCAATAAATTTCTCCTCAAGATTTATTTTTTCAAGTGACACATATTACACGATCCTTTCTCAAACTAAATCACACTAATGGCGAATGCAGTTCTTGCTTTTTTTAAATCTGAGGTAAATCGGCAGGAATAACTATTTGATCAAGGTTTCATGCTTGTTAAAAAGGAAAATACACTCGAGTAGGATTCTAGGCGAAATCGCAAAATATTGATGTTCATTGGTTGGAACATTAGGATACCATGGAAAGGACGAGCAGAACTGCTTGGGGCTTCGCACAAAGTCCTCTTGATGAACTCTGGGTCCCTGAGAGCTCATTGTAACCACTTGATACTCATTAGTGCATTCTCGAACATAGCGTAAACACTGGTGCGCATAAGTCCCTCGTGCGACAGATAAATCAGAATACTTAAGTGTAACAGGAACCCTGATGGTCAGAACCTGTGAGTGAGAAGGACACAAAACCTGCGTTTCGTAATAGTAGGAAGCCATATAAACTCATCTAAGCCACGGGCAGCAAACACGCCCGGTGTAAGTGAGATGATTCAAGAGGTAGGTGGTACGTCAATCACTTACTTTCACGCACACCTACGAGGCTAGATTCCTCCAGGATCCTGACAGCAAGGTTCAACGCAAAAGGAAGGAAAGTCACAATCGTACAATGCTATGCTATGCTATGCTACGCTACGCTACGCACCTACAAATAATGCAGATCAAGAGGAGAAGGATTAATTCTACAGACAACTGCAATCAGTGATGGACAAGACTACACTCCAGTTGACGACATCAAAATTCTAATAGATGACATGAATGCCAAACTGGGAGCGGACAATACAGGAAGAGAACTCATCATGCGTCGAGAAGCACTCGGTGAAATGAGTGACAATGGAGAACTGTTTGCAGACTTCTGGGCATTCAACGATTTGGTGATTGGAGACAGTGTGTACAAACACAAGTATATTCACAAAGCGACATGGAGTTGATTTCACCAGAAACCAGGACACAATACACTAAAAATCAGATCGACTTCATCTCAATGTGAAGAAAGTGGAGACGCAGTCTACTGGACACAAGATCACGAAGACGAGCAGATGTAGCTCCACACCACTCACTATCGAGTGCAAGGAACCTTCCGAATCTAGTTGGAAGCCTTCAGAGAAGATGGTGATAGACTACAGTTCAAGTTCAACACCCGGAACAGAAACTAACTGAAGGACGAAACTACAAAAGAAATCTTCACGGCAGCCATCAGAACAAAATGCGAGACATTGAGCAACATCCCTGAAGGATTGGGTGTGGAAGAACACTGGAACTCTTTGAAAGCTATGTGGAATGAAACCTGCATAACCTTATTGGGAAGGAAGAGGAAAGAAGATAAGGAATGGATCTCGATGGATACATGGGAGCCGATAGAGCAGGGAGAGGAAGATGGTGAAACAGAAGACGGACCAGTGTAATTTAGTGCAGTGCAGTGCAGTGCAAGGATGAACATCGAAAAAAGGAACTGAACACATCCTATAAAACACTACATTGGAGAAAGAAGTGAAGAAGAGTGAGCGTAAAGACAAAATACACTTCCACGACACACTGACAAGTGAAGCAGAACACGAAGCATGTAGGAGAGTCCTGACAACACTACATCAAATAACCAGGTTACTATCCGGGAAGAGATCAACGCGGATGAAACCAATGAAGGATAGTGAAGGGAACTTAGTTAACAAGGAGGAGAAACAAAGGAAACAATGGGCCGACCATTTGAATCGACCACCATCACCACCTGCAACTCGTCCAGAAATACCACCAGCAGCCCAGCCACTGAACTATCAGTGAACACAAATCCTCCAACAAAAGCCAAAATCCTGAACACCATACAGTTGCTGAAATCCGGGAAAGCAACAGGACCAGATGGAATTCCGACAGAAGCACTGAAAACAGATACAGGGACAACAGTGGACATGCTCACACCACTATTGCAGAAGGTCTGGGAGAAAGAGAGAAAAGGTACCTGGTGATTAGAAGAAGGGCTACCTTGTCAAACTCCCAAAGAAAAGAGACCTAAGTCTTTGCAAGAACTGGCGCGGAATCATGCTCCTATCCACCCCAAGCAAAATATTAAGCCGCATCATCCTGGAGAGACTAAAGGATGCGCTGGATTCAAAACTGCGACCGGGACAGGCTGGCTGATATCACGCATCAGACCAGGCTCTCGAGTGGAAACCAAATGGGAAGCGACGAGTTGGGTGTCTGAGGGTGAAATGGAGGAGATCGTGTGAGGAGGAAATGAGAGCTTGTGGGCAGTCGTGGAGCTAGGTTCAAAATACTTCAGAGAACAGAGTGAAATGGAGACGTGCTACGGAAGATGTATGTTCCAGTAAGAGGTACATAATGGAGAAATAATATAATAATAATACAAGGCTGGGTGGAGTGTTTGGAAAAGCAGTTGAGCAGATTCAGTGCCCTAGAAACACTTATTGCATGTTGCTGTATGAGGAGTTAACACTACTTTATCTGAAAAAAAGGAAGTTCGTAAGAAGCTCCTACATTTAAGGCATCGAACTTGGCCAACCAATTCCTTGCTTTTTCCAATGATAGATGTTTGATTGTCGTCCCTGACTTAGTGATATTTCGTCAGATTCTCGGCCAGAAATATCTGCATTAAAAGTCAAGTATTATTTACTTTGAATATGCTCATCATTTATGTGCACAAAGCGTTATTTGGAAGGCTGATAATACAGTTGTGAAATAATGCAATTCAATGTGACATTAATAATAAATATAATTAGGATCGTTGGAAATTTCATCATTTAAACAAGCGAAATAATATCAGAAACTTATGATTAGTCTCGATATGATTATTGTTATCGAATTAGGTCTTGTTTCATAAATATGCTTCCAAGTCAGGGACCTATATTTCAAGCTTCACTTTTGGAAAAACTCTTTACTGATTACTGAAATTTGTGTTGTTTCTAACAGGGTCTGGAACGTTTTTAATGTAAATGACAAAATTTCATAAGATTATACTCGCAGTTCTCAAAGTATGTTTAGTAAATAATGCTTGACAGCCTAAGAGCTAGCGTAAAGATTTGTGTAGGTAAACCTTTGTGCAAATCTAGTTAAACTTAACGTAACCGAAACCTCCTTACAGCATAAGCTGGGCCCAGAACATGAAGGCTCTGCATTCGATCCCTGACAAAGTCATGGGACAAAACAGCTGTCCAGTGCTCCCAGGTTTTCAGTGGTTCTCCAACTGATATCATTCCATGATGAATGTCAACCTGATATCAATAAAGAAATCCCAAGAAACCTCCAAATTCAAGTAAATACTTGTAAGGCGTTAAGTTGTATCAGCCAAAATGTCGAAAACGTGAATCTCGAATAAATGTCGCTGGTCACTTTGAAAGTCGTTTTACCTATAACCTAACTGGTAACGCTATTGCATAGCTCTGTTCAAGAGATTTTGACTGGCCCCTTACTCATTTCTGTACGACCTGTATTTCGAAAATAACTGCATGTTAAGTTAAACCTACTGTTATGCCTTGTCCCATGTTTTGTATGTGAAATCAGTCGCTCCATTCTTATAAATTATGATAAGCCATGATAAAGCAGTTAAGTGATACACATTAATGAATGAGATCACCTAAAATATATACGAACGATAAGCACTGGATTTTTGCTGTTGTAAACGGTAGGAAGGGGGGATAGAATCGCTTAACTAATCGTGTAGGTGGGTTGAGTATATGAGACTAAGTAGATATGTTACAAAGGAATCACGTTCAAGGTCAGCATTGAAACTGAATAAGACAAATCAAGTGCCTAAGTCAGTTGCAGGCAAAGTTGCAGCAAATTGGCTACTGGGTTCACGCAGGAATGCATCATTGATAGATTTGTAGTTGGTGTTATTCTATGCATCATATGTAAACGCCAATCATGTTGGAAGCACATAATTAATGAGATGTGACTTTTTCCAAGAACATTGAGACTAATGTACATATTTCAAAATATGAAGTGCCCCGGGTAAGTGTTGAACTTTACTCCAAACTCCCGGTCAGATAATATCCCCGAGACCGATGGAAAGACGACGAAGGCTCTCGATAAATACAACAGCTAAATACCACATAGTAGTTTTCTGAGAGGTTCTTATAAGTAAAGTGCCTGGTCAAAAGAAAAGTTGAATAAAATATCCTGAGGGTATGCAAGTATCAGAAAAAATATCGGCATCTGTCCAACTCTTTCACCAGCAATAAATCAAATCGGAATCTAGAAAAAACATTTAATAGAATGAACCTTTTTGAGGATATATTGGCTCCAATGTCACAAGTTATTAATAAAACTATCAACATCAGCCTGCTCCCTTGTTCAAATTCTCAGCTTATGCTTGATTTATTTGAAGGTTCATTGAAAAGAGAAGTAAAGTTACGTTCACTCTTCACCAAAAAAAATACAAGTTTGTGAAATTATTTGATAACTGATTTGTCCTCATCTAGAAGTATGTGAAGAAAGATTAACGTGAACTTGTTAGTGTGTATAACTTAATCTTAATAGTTCTTATCTGAGTAACAAACAACGTTTTTGTTTAATACTAAAGGTAAGTGGATTTCTTATGATGTTCATCATAATATAAGTTTTCTTCGTAATCTTAGTCTACAAATAATATGCGTACATACACGCATAATTAACGTTACAATTTCCGTTTTAGCAAGATTGCATGCCACATCTTATGCTAAACATTTTCCCAGTTATACAAAATGAATCGCTTCACATTATCACACATTTCCATTTCTCGTTATAATACTCGTTAACCAAAAGGTATAACCAATCCTTACTTTTCCTTCAAAACATCAGAAGATCAGTCACTTTCTCTCTTTAATTAGGCTCAATTTAGATGAAAACTAAATTTAACTAGGCAAATAGTGTGATGATGGTGAATTTGTAACTAGATATCACTCATTCATCTGAGAAGTAGATGGAACTCGAACAATCTAAGTAAACTTGAGACATCGTTAGAGGTTGAGTCTTGTAGTCGAGTGTTCAGAGTTTCAGTCCGTTAACCAGGAAGTCAATGATTCATACTCCGCGTATACCCAGGTTTATTTGAAAAGTAAGCCATCTTTGTTGTCCTTCTTAATAATAGCAGGTATGTAAATAACATCACAAATGAAGAAACGTAGTTACAGCTACCCTGACAATAAACGTACGTCCTTGATTCCACTGCTAGTCACTATCCATCACTATTATGAAACTGAAAGACAGGCAATATCAACGTATCCGCGCAGCAGTCCACATACAAAAACAGGCCAGTCAATTTGGTTCAACCAGCAAGGGAATACAAACAACAACATAAAAACGATACCCGTCGCACATGTAGCTATTGTGACTCAGTGGCCTAGTAGATAACGCTCTGGCTTTTGAAGCGATGGGTACTGGGTTCGAGTTTTACTGAGAACAACATTACTCACTCAGAGGTAGGTTCATACAGCTGACGAGTGCAAAATGGGACGAATCGCGTGATCCGGATCCTACCGCTAACCATTATCCATCATTTTATGAAACTTATTTATTTATCTTTTTGGTTCTTTTCATGCTGGTACTTGAAATTTAAATCTAAAAACATTCCTATGCAGAAGTAATTTTTTGCATACATTGGTAAATAGTATACGCAGATTTATATACGGTTTGTAAAGTCCGCCGATTAGTTTGACTTTGATGAACATTTCTGTTTTTCGGAATTTCTGAACTAAGTGACCCAGGGTATGTTGTTCCTGTTATTTTGTGTGTGTGTATGAAGGCAGAGTGAAAGCAGACGTATGTGAAGAACACTGACAGCTTAAACGATATTCTGTTTTCGAAATTATTTTGTTCGCTGTATAGGGATAAAATTAACCAGAAATTCTCTGAAGTATAATCTTTCAATATTGGATTGAAATGTACAAGTTATTTAACTACTATAACAGGTACGTTCTTATAGATTTTAACTGTTAGACTTACTAGTAGTTATTACAGGTTTCGAAGTTGAAGTTGGCTGTTTTTCCGAATCGTCTTCAGGACTATTGTTACCCGTGCTCCCAAAAATAGGCATAAGTATACTCAGACGTCTTTTAGCGATTTTGAATGACGTACCACCAGTTCCAATGGGATAGTTATGTTTGAACATATCGGTTCTCTTGTCACCACTTGCTTCACGAGATAATGAACGCTTGGTTATTGAATTTCTTGATGAATTTTGACATGAATGACTTAATTTTCCATCACAATTCACATTATCTTGTGGTAAGCGCTGATGTGTTTCCCTAAGGTACGTTGTAATTTCAAATAGTAGTTGGACGCCGATTGTTAACAACGCATACGGACAGCTTTCACCCGATGGATTCACTGAAGCTAAGAAATATAAAAAATGGATACAGTAAATAAATACATTTTCCTGTCGTTTAGAGAAATATGAGACATAAATAGAAGCCGTACAACTCTATTAAAGAAACCTGTTGTAGTAGCAAATAAGACTTTATACCTATGAAAGTCCACTTGTTTTTGAGGAGACATTACAAAAACACTAACAAACACAAGAACTACAAAGAGCTCCTTTTGACGAATTCGAAAATTATTGCCAAATTACCCTTCTGAATCACCTAGAAATTAGGTGTTTGCAAAGATGACAGGAAAATGAGTAAGTTTATGAGATATTTGTTGATCTCACCTATTATACGCTTACGCCTGTCTTAGGTTACTTCTGTTTTAATTCCCTATTAGATTTGTTTCTTTGATTTATAACACACAGTGATACAGTATTATTTACTTGATGATGTTTCGGGCATAAATTATTGCTCATAATCATAACAATGTAGTCGCACAACTTTCGACTTTTGATTTTTATAGTTATGTCACTTTATATGAGTTGTTTTTATTGGTAGCAAAATTTTCCATACCTCTGGTATAGGTGTTGCGTTATTTCTATCATATATATATATATATATATATATATATATATATATATATATATATATATATATATTACCACCTTGCAAACACAGATAAGCAATACGACAGGCGTTATAATAATCTACCTTTAAGCTAGTTTTACTTTGATTTCATAGGAGCACTCCTTGTTTCCATTACTACTACATCAGAAAATCTCTGTTTATCTATTCTATACTTGGTCTTTCTACCTAAAAATACACTGACAGTGCTTTCCAATACCTTCTACGTCTTTTGAGAGTAAACATACTGAAGCTTGATGGTGATGTGATCCGAGATGGGTATTTTGTGACTGAAAATTATTCAAGCTCATATCGTTTTACCACCATAACTTTGAAAGGTATGTATAAAGTGAACGCTAAGTAAGATTGAAGCCATCACGTGGTTTAGCCTTGAAGTGGTTGGTAACCCATCAAACCAACTTTTAAGTCCTATACTAGGACGAAAACAGTCGTTCAGTGCTCCCACGTTCCCAATATTCCTCAAACTGATGTCAGTTTGAATTTCAAACTAAAATCAATTAACGAACCTCCAGATAGAGTTACATTCCTATCAGGGTTTTAGCTAATGCCAGTAGGGTACGCACTTTACTATAAGGGTCTACAGTCTCACCACCGTCTGGTTAACACGGCAGCCAGAAACTTTTAAATATTACGGTAGTATAACGTTTATGTTAATGACAGAGGATGTCAAGACGAATTCTACAGGAAAAAGAAAAATCAAATCCAATTATACAAACAAACATTTATGATATTTTTTAACTCTTACCATCGTCCAGAAAGTTTTGTTCCATCTCAGTACTTGTAAATTGCGATCGGGGATTGGAATCTTTGTTTTGTCACTTCCACAGAGCTTTTCGTTACTCGTATCGGAACCGGTAATTATGCACGAGTTGAATGAAGACATTAAAGCTGTGAAGTAGTGTAACCTATATCCCAAAGCCTAGAAAGCCATTGAAATGGGTCAATAAAAGATTAATACAATGCATTATGGGATTCTGAAGTATTACTAAGTACTGTCGTCTAATATGATATCCCCCTAATAACCACTAGTAACCAGCTACTGGTGGAAAATTCTTGTGTCTTAAAATGGAACCACTCAGTAGTGTGCATGCACGATAAATTTTCTAATCTATGATAGACATCACTTTGAGTCTTAGCAGAATTTTAGAATATGCCACCTTAACGCTAAACTTCAAAGCTAAATACCTTACTTTAGTCTGTTTATTAGAAATATCACACAGTGAAACAGTAGCATTTACTGGATAACGTTTCGGACATAATTGATTGTCCATATTCAAATACCTTATCAATGAAGAACTACTTGAGGTTAAAATTAGAGACAGACTATTATAAAATCATGTGATATATTCTCATATAATATAGATTATTTTTTGGGGGGTTCAAGTCATTGCTAACTCAGACTTTTCTTGACGGTTCAAAAGCAAATATCTTTACTGCATGACCTCAAGTTTATTTAGATGCATTCCGATAGCTAGAAACTGCTGGGAACTTTCTTCTAATTTCCAGTGACTACTTCGATAATACCCAAAACAAAATTAGGAAATGAGAGTATCTAAACGAAGAAGTAGACGACTATCAGCTTCAATGCTTTATACACGCTGCAGTATGAACAGGATAATCTTATTAGGCAGTTTGGGCTTCATGTTATGCACACAAATATGGTATATATCTAGTTACTTGCAAGTCTGTATGTTCTAATATCGTAATCGGTAAATGGATTGTAAAGTAGAGGAGAAAAAAGTTGTTGTTTGTGTACAGTTACAACATTTTCGTGCATGCAGTATTGCTATTTACTTTTATCCATAGTCCGAATAGTTATATCAGTACACAATTCATAAATTTGAAACTTAATGGTCTGCATTTGGTATTCGAAATCCCACTGGACCACTTTATAAGGAAATGTAGACTTTCGTTAATTTCAATTACCATCAAGGCATTAGAAAACAGTTATTATTAAATCGTGGATCTAGTATCGTCAATTATCTACCTCAAGACTTGGTCTTCTAGTTTGTGTACATGTTACAAAAACCATGATGATTACTAATCATAATGAACATTACCTTTTCATTATACGACACAACCAAATTCACATTGAAAAAATGATATCTGTTAATAATGCTATTCGCAAGTGGAAAATGAGTAAAACTATTTAATATGGTTGTTATTTTGCGCAACTTTATCGTCCACATCTTTAAACGAAGCACGAACACCTGAGATCTTTTACAAATAATGAACATATTCCGGATTGTTGAGAAAAAAATCATGAAAAGATTCAGCTAATTGAAGGGATAGGATATATACATATATGTAACGTTGCTGAACGTCTCCTGTTGTCTTACTGCCAAGAAATCAAGTTCCTATAAGCAATAGAAACTGAAAATTCACAAGCGTACGCCAGTATTTCACTTTATATCATGGGTTATTTCATAGTAACTTACAAATATTCTGTGGTATATTATGCAGCATACTATGTGAAAGTAAACATATTTCAACCGCAACTGTACTCCATTCAGACTTTTATAAAGGATAGTTTACGGTTCCTTACTGCTGCCCACTCTATATATTTACCGAAATTTTGACTAACCACACTCAACTGATTATTCTGTGTGGATTAATATCCACCAAGTATGTTCACGGGTTGATAGAAGTGCATTCTAATTGATTTGTAAAAAACACATTGATCAGCAAAAAGGACTTTTTCGCAACTTTGTATAAGCCATATTCAGAGTAAATCATTTCATACTATCCAGTCTTGAGTGCCATCGAAAAAGTTAGTTCCCTAGGAGTTGCAGATAAACCTTTCAGACACACACCAAAAACCATTAAACGGATATCCATGACTTACTGTCTACTGAGTTTACCTGCTCGACATACAACAAAAGTTCTAGGCGATGCTGAATCTCTTAGATTCGTTAACAGATTTCCAAATAGTGGACAGAATTCAGTTGGCACTCAGAAAATGATTACTCTCCAGTGACCGCTTAATTTACACCAACTGTAACGTCAATATTACTCTGCTCATCTTTACAAAAGTTGAAAAAATGTCGATAGCTTGACAGTAAGTGACATTTCCACTGGATACCACCCTTCCACCAAACGTCCAGTATTTAAAAATCTTCATTTTATAATTATCCCTATTCCAATTTCTTTTCAACAACTATTTGTTATTCTTATGGTGTGTCTTTTGTATGCACGATAATTCATTTCATTAGTGTATAATCTCTTTAGATAATTTTTTTTCATACATAAACCAACTGTATCTACTCATATGCAATCGTAGTTTACGCATTCGACAACATCCCTACCTCTTTTCTACAATCATGTATTTGTTTTTGGCTGAATTTTATTACATTAATTACTTCATTCACGCAGTGAAATTCCGGTATTCTCCGGATCTACAAAACACAAATTAACATATCAGGATTCTACACTAGAAGCGTGCTAATTTTGTTATGATTGTTCATTGAGCAGTCGATTTAGGTTGTATGTAGTTGATGAAAATTCTGTAAAATAAAGTGATCTCATCTTATTCTATATGCACTGTTCTTAATACGTTATTCAATTTAACCAAAAGGCGTAAATGTGGAAACCTTCTGTGTTGGGAAGAAGTACATGAAAAAGAAACAGGGAACTTGGACAGCTTTTGCTTGCAAATTATTTATCACAGGTAAGATGTCTTACCAAAACTGTTATCAATACTATAGTTCATAGGCTATCTTTATGCCTTTTCTTTGTCCACTATAAGTTGTTCATTGACTTATTTATCATGCAGAAGTAGCATTTATTTACCAGTAAACTATGTGAATCATTTCTAATATGAACAGTATTTTATATATTTTGATTATTTTTGAGATGAATGGGGATTTTTAATTTAGACGCAGTATTCATCATGGACTGACATCAGTTAGGGAACCATTGAAAATCTGGGAGCACTGGACAGCTGAATGGTTAACGCGTTCTCCGTGAAACCTGAAGGTCCCGGGTCCGATCCCTATCCGGGTCGCGGGTGCGTGCTGTTGAGGAGTCCCATGCTAGGACGAAACAGCTGTCCAGTGTTCCCAGATTTTCAATGATTCCCTAACTGATGTCAGTCTATGATGAATACTACGTCTATATTTTGAATATGTTCGCTGCCTGAGTGAAAGTGCTGTTAGTATTTCGTATTATATACCATGCAGAAGGAGTGAATAGTAGTCAGGTACATACGATATTTATCAATGAAGCATAGAAAACGTCATGGTCACTCGTAAATGTTAAAGCTACAATTGTAATCATGATTCAAATCACATCATAAAAAAACAAGTATGATCCCCACTGTATCATCTTCAAAAACAAGTGATGGAGATTAAATATCATGTCAGAACTAGATATCCTTGTAGCTATTATGTCCAGAACTCATAAGAAATATATCTTTTAAACTAAGATTTGACATTTTCCATGCGAAACCAATTTCATGTTCCAGCTTGTGCTTACCCCTAGAAAGCACTAGAGTTTCAAATTTGAATATGCTGATTATTTTGAATAAACGATGATAGAAACCAACCAATGGCAGGCGATCTTCTTATCGTAACTCATCATTTTTACTTGCTCATTCACCCACCAAATTTTCATTGTTGCCTAATTCCTACATATCACTGAGGTCATGTGACTAGTGTAATGAAGCGAGAATGAACTTAAATAACACTTAGTCATTTGCCCGATGATGGCTAAAAGTAGAATCTAGGATGCGCGTTTAGTCCTATTTGGGATTCGTCAGCTAAATTTGGTTGCATCTCAATGAACGTCGGTGTTTCTATCGAGAATCGAATAAAGCAATTGTCGCTTCAAAACCAGAGGGTTATCCACTAGGCTACTTGGTCGTTTTGGTTCAGTTAAACAGATGTAGGAAAACATTAGTGATTTCAAATTCCATACCATTTCCCTCCCACTCCCTATCTAGCTTATCATCCAATTAAAAATAATGAGTACACAGATCACGTATTTGGTGCCACAAAATTCAGAAGTTATATTTTTTAATGCATGAATTCCGTAACAAGTTTCCAATTCCAAATCACGAGTTACTACACTGTTTGTAAGCGCTGTAATTGGAAATGAATCCAAGTTTAAGGAGTGTTTTAATTTCACTACCCTCTCTTCTCTGAAATCTTCGAAGGAGTATGAGAGGAAGACGCACACGCACTACGCTATGAGAATCGCACTTGTAAGACATATCTGAACACCTTACGTAAATTGTGCGAGCTGGAAAGTAAAGCGAACGCCAATTTCCGGACGGTGTTCACTCAGAAAGGTTAGTTCCCTTTAGTTCAAGTACATGTTTCATTGACTGTCTGTTGAAATGCTGTTGTTTAAAGTATTTATTTCGGAAGTTTATGAAAGGTTGTAGAAAGTGAGTCTATGGTTATTAAGTCACAATCATCCATACAACTATCTGCTACATGATACTAAGAATTCGATCACAAGCAATAGATACAACATTTAGCGGAGCATTTGAAAGCTCTGGGTATGGTTAAATAAATAAGCTGAGACTCTGTGACCACAATACCTTCACTTCAATATACGATAATCTACCATATAAAGCATTGGAAAATGCTTCATTCAGAAAGATAATTTTTATCTACAGCTCAGAGACATCTGTCTATTTTATTACAGCATATAAGACAAGCCTACAGGGTTACTCAAAGGAAGTAACTGTCCACAAAATAAAAGCAACGAGGAAGTCATTTTTTCGGGCTCGTTATAAATATGAATGAAATCCCTAATGTCATCATTTTTAGACTGATACCTATCCTTTTAGTAACAATTTTAGTTCATACTTGCTTTCCTGATTTCTAAATAATTCAGCAAGACTTGTCGGTCGCCTTATAAAGTAGTGGTTTCAGCAACTAAATGTGAGAACATATGTAATGGTTATTACTGACAGACAAATACACAACTCCACTCCACTTCTTTGCTTTTATTATACCGTTTATGAAAATGGCAGAAAGATGGATAAGTTGGAGTATTTTGTGTGGGGATTTCGTAGCCATCACACCGAGGCTTTTGATAAGGACTTATTTGAAAATAATTGTTTCAGGTCTACTCATCACTCTGAATAGTCGCCTCAGTGGTTAAACAGGATGTTGTTTAGGATTTCATTATTTATACCCACGATAATGTGCTTAATAAGCCACTTGTGTTAACAGAAACGTATCACTCATAGTTTGACAAAGTTGGCTGGACACTAGAGAAACAACCACAGAACAAATAGACTGCCTATGGTATTTACTGAAATTTAGCTATGGTTTTACAACTAAGAGAAATTAGAGGATAAAAGATAGTTTGACTAGACTGTCGGCACTTGAAAGCGTATCAATTAAGTGGTTGGGAAACTCACAGATAATCATGCAGACATCTCAGGAAGTTATTAACTTGCTTTGATGAGTAACGTCCATCCTCATTTATAGAGTCATAATTGCTGAACCAAATGCTTAACATTATTGACAAACATCTTGGGATCAACTCAGGCAAAAAGTTGAAAACAATGGCTTCAGTGAATAATACTCACGTTTTGCAATTTACAGTCACAACATTTTTAATTGACTCTTAATAATGAGTTTATAGGATTTATGACAACCATGTGAAATTTATGTAGTGTGACATTTAGAGACAAAGTAATGAAGGACCTGTGATGTTTAAAAATGATTCCACTTCTAGAAACTTGTAAAGACATAGAACAGTTGGAAGGTAATTTGTACAAACAAATCGATTCAAACTTCACTACTACCACCTTGAAGCAACTAGTCATGTCATTTTTGTAATATCTGACTAGTACATATGTTGTTCTGCTCTCAACGTACCTATAAGTGTCTTCAGCTTTAAAACCTGTTAGTATATCGTACAGATCTTAGCGTGCTTATCTTTCACGTTCTTTTCCTCTTACAGTTTTTATTCTCCCAACCAATTTTCTTTGGGCGTTTCCGGGAGCTCTCAAAAATAATTCAATTTGCAAATGGCTTGATATCAAAAACGACAATATGTGTTCACAAACTCACAGAAAACAGGAAGGCATACTTTTGAATAAGTTGATAAGTAACTAATTATTCCACAAACACTTGAAAAATTAATCCTATAATTCCCACTGCAACATCAAGAACAAGATATTCAGCGAAGAGACTCTTTTCAACGAATTTGTTTTCAGGCTGTACAATCGCATATATACGATATCTGAAAAATTATATCCCGTGAGGAAAACTAACACTACATAATGTTGATGACAATAATAGTAGAGAGGATGATGACATAGGCACTTGTGATTATGACAACAATTGAAGTGTGAATGATAACAAAGTAGATTACACTTCAATTGTTATCATAATCACAAGTGCCTCTGTCATCATCCGCTCTATTATTATTGTCATCAACATCGAAAAGTAATCGACAAAATATGTCGACAGCACTTTTTTTATACATACGTCAATTTATTACCGTACATAAATAGTGCATATATACCAGTCATCCATTCCTTGGGGTCTTCATAATTCTTCGAAGACCTTGACACAATTTATACTTGCCACAACTGACTTTATAGTTTCTCACCGACATTTCCATCATAATTATTACTCTTTGAAATATTCTCATCAAACAAACAATCTCAGTTTTCAAAGTCAGTCATATTGCAATAAATTACAGTTTTAATCCAATAAAAATATGAAGTCGTTCGATAAATGCATTACCTTCAACCAAAATTAACTACCTGCTCATTAGAAGAAATCAGTCAATCAATTCTCATTTTTTCAACTTGTGCACAGAAAAAATGCAGAACGTCGTTGTGCAATAGTAACCCACCCTCTCTAATAACAAAAATAGTTGAAGTTTTCCGAAAACCATAGTTTAAATCAATTTGTTTAGTACATAAGGAGGATGGTCAGAAGAAAGAATTAAATATAAGAAGAACATTTCGCATATCGTCCTAGCCTTACTGCAATAACCGTATTCCTCTTGGGCATTTACAACTGGAAATAATATTTAATCCAGCTAGTTTTCCAATGAACCGTATTAACAAGAACGTAATTGCTTTGAACGACGCATATTGGTTATTCCGGTGAAAAATTCTCTAATTTAAGAAATTAGTCAAAACGCCTATGCTCAATTCGCAGGTAAGTTTACTTTGCAGCACATGTATATTTTAGCATTGAACGCACTAATGATCAGAACACTTGTGTGCACAATAGCAATCAATAAAAATGCACAAAAACCTACTAAATCAATACTTACTTCACCCATGCATAAAATAAATAGCCAGCTGAACGTTTTATTTCTGATATATCCACTGGTTGATTACTGCCATTGTTATTATCATTAGGTTGTAGCAAATTACTGTTACTAACGTAACCAGCACTTGAACGAAATGAACTTGGTAAGTTGAATTTCATCCACCCAGCCCATTCATCACGATTACAACGATGAACTAGGAAGGCGCATTCTAGTAGCAAACAAGCCCTTGCAAGCACTGGTGCATCCTAAAACGTTTGTTAATAAGGTGAAAAACGATAAACTGTGATGCCAACGGGAAAATGTACAGTCAAACGTTATTCACAGATTTCTTTGTAGCATTGCTTGCCTTTGGTGGAATCACCATGTGAGCAATGTCGAAGTCAGCCGAAGGGTACTAGGTAAATAGACAAGTGGATTGATGAGGTCGTAAACCTTAGTCGACTGAGTCGAAAGTATGTCAAACTTCATTTGTCCACCACTCACCTTACATTTTAGCATTGTTTAATATTCTACTCCCAAGTACGTCATGTGTGTGATAATGCATTTGATTTATACAGTAAACAAAACATCTAGATGTCCTTTCAAAGTCGTTTCTCACCAAATGTCATCGATACTACTCATTCAAAATCAAACATTTCTTTAAAATAAATATCTATTCTCTGAATAAAGTAAGTGCTAGTAATCATCGGAATCCACAGGAATTTATGAATCATTTTCTTACTCGGGATTTGGAAGAGAACAAAAAACGTACTGTGCTTCCAGAACAGCTTTTTGAGTCTGAAATTAGCGTTTCGAAAGTGGCAGACCAATAATCCTGAAAGGTTATAATGTAATTGACGAATTAGATGATTATTCTTTTTGAAGAAAACAGTATCAGTCTCCTTAACCACTTCTGGCAAGTCTGCATACATGTACAGTTGTGAATTGCTGATTAGCCGTCAGCACACAGAAAACATCCAGTGAGAAACAAATCTCCTTATTTAATGAATATGAACTAAGACAAAAACATCGCGTCATTTACTACACGGACAACGATCCATGGAAGTCACTGAAGTATTATGGTACCTCATTAATTCTCTGAACTTTAGTGAAAAACTTTTAACCAATATGGATATTTTCATTGTTTTAGACCACTGTGAATCAAACCCTAGTTTCTTAAACCTTTTTTATATTCAACTAAAATATAAGTTTTTCAGTACTGCGGAAGTCTTTTGATGCTTAGACAAATTTATACGATGTCAACGTACGAAATCAATGAGCTTTAGTTTGCTTGCAATGATTAATTGACACGACGAGATTAAATCCATTCTCCTGAATAGTTTCTGAAATGATTATCTTTGAGAAAAAGGTGTTTCATTTTTAGGTGTAAATAAACTTTGCTGATGCATAAAGCAACTGTGAAAATTTAAGTCCAGTATTTTTAACCCATTATTAGTAATAATTGTGTTATTCTACACACCACACTGTTGAGAAGTAAAATTCACGATATGTTGTCCAACGCCAACTAAATACTGCTTCAGAATTCATTAACTGTCATATTATGAAGCGTCCCACTTTTTAAAATATATCACAATCCACCATAACGTTTCTTCAGGCCTTTGTTTGTCCCCAAAATGATGATAGTGTCAATGCTTGTAAAATAAGCAAAAGAAAAAGCAAAATCCTAAGACATCAAATTTTAACAACATACCAAGAAACTTGATTTCAGTAACACAGAGACTGAAGAAAAGCACGAACAACCACGGCACAAAGCGCGAAATAATTACGATACTTTTCAAAATTAGAGAAAGGAATTTTAGTTTCCAAAATACTACTAACAAATTCAGCCTTAAAAACACCACGACCAATATGTCAGGTTCCAGACTAATATAGTTACACTAATCTGAGTTTATCGAATGAAATTTAATGTAGGTTTGATATACTGGTCAATTTACACAGCACATCACTTATATTTTCAAGCACTCGTCAATCTCCTAAACATATCAGTCTGCACAAAGAAAAACCAAAAGGTGTCTTTCCTCTTCTAGTTTGCCTATCGGTCAACCTAGTTTTTTGCTCACCCGCTTAATTCACCTATCAACATGAATCAGAATTTTAACAGAAAAACAAACACAAGGAATAACTATTCAAATGTTTTTTTTAACTTACCAAGTCGAATAAAGCTGCAACAAGTTGCGGTTCTGGTATTGAACCTGGTTCACAACAGTCTAGCAGAAAGGCGAAATCTAAAAGACCTTCTCTAAGGGCTGACAAATTTACCCAACGATGTTCAGTTGTCGTCTGAACAGCTGACTGGTCTATGGCAGGGCCATCAGATTTAGATCGACTAGAATGATCTAAAATTTATATATGGCATACAAAGTCAATCATCGCTAAAAAATTGATTACTACTTCTGTAATTATATATGTATGTACACGTATATATTATATGTCATAGGATGCCAATGTATTATTAGTATAAATCATTTTTAGTCCCTTATGGTTCAGGATGCCATAGTTCTGCAAAGTTAATTTTTTTAGCTGGTATATATTTGGTTGTCGAAAAATACATCTTGGACGTGTATTTTCATAGGAAATTCAAGCTGACAGAGTTTAATTTGAACTGACTAGCATCGTTACCACACAACTATAATTGTTAAAATAAAAAGTTTCAATTTTACGCAATACTGCTCATCATATCAACCAGATTCGAAGTATAGCACTTTTCATCGGACAAATGTTAATATTGTTCCGAAAGAACTTCTGAACTAACTAACTGTAACGTATCGAAATGAGTCAGCATTGTGGTCGGTTTATTATTCATACTTACGCATTTAGAAAGGCAGTTTTGCAGAACAGAAGAAACCTAGAATGAACTCCAACACCACTGTCTTGAAAGAATAAACCATAATGTAAGCTTCGAAAACTGAGAAGACAGACAGAATAATGAAGGTAATTTTCTCCACTCACTGGCAACACTTCAAGCAAGATTCTGAGGGTAATAGGAATAAATACCGATTTTAGTCTGAGTGGGAGTTTCTCAATGAGAGGTAATTCTTTCGAATACAAACATATGAATCATAAGACATACACAGTCAGTACTGACAACTGATGCCTAATAGTGACATTGAGAAACATCTGGGTTATATACAAACAAGCTGAACTCATGGCACTTGGAGCGATAGATCTCAATCGAATGAAAGGAGAGAGTATTCAAAATAGAAACAAACGAGGAGCTACATAGTAAATTTACTGATCTACGGGTCCAATGTTAGTGACCACTTTTAAACTACCGAAATTCTAACAGCCATCATTATAAGAAAAGATATGGTTTGTTAAGAAGATAATTGGTAACAGCTTGGTTGAAATTACTGATAATTAAAATTCTCTTCAATCATCTAACCAGTGATGCGATTGAAGACAACGATTCATAGACAAAATTCACAGGAGTCAGATTATCATTATGACAAGATGCAGAAAAATTGCTTATTTTCAAATAGGTTATTCATCTCTTTACCGATAAAAATTTCTTCTCGTCACAAGGATATACTGAATGTCTCGTTGCTAAAAAAAACAACTTATTTTCCAATACTACATTTGTTCACAGTGTAAAACAGTACATTTCTGTACTTCATGAAGTCACTACACTACACTCACGAATACAGACTAAAAGAATCCAAAGGAGAACTCAAAAGCTCTGTAGAAAGAGCGTAGACAATTGAACAAATTAACTAAGTTTCCCTAGTAAGCTTTGTGTCTTTCAGTGATACTTTTCAACAGGGCTGAAAAAGGACAAATCAAGTATTTGGCACTACTTTTTGATTTCTATTAGTATCCAGTTAATAAAGGCTTACAATTTAAACCATCTTCATTAGTTACAAAAAGATAGTTTCAAGAACGAGCATTCGGAAAAATGGACAAATTTAATGTCACATTCGTTCCACAAATTCATTGATAGTGAACTCTGAGATCACCACTATTGAAGTGATTTGCTTTCGCACTATTGACGGATAGCAGTTACCAGTGGAATCCAGGAAGTGACTATTGCAACTTGGTGGCCTAGCAGGTAAAGCTTTGGCATTTGAAACAATCGGTCCCAGGTTCGAGTCTCAATGGGAACAACATCGCTCACTAAAAGGCAGGTACATCCAGCTGAAGAGTCCAAAATCAGATGAATCGCAAATCCTGGATTCCACTGCTAGCCACTATCCATCGTTAATATAAAACTGAAACACAGGCAATATCGAAGCATCGGCGCAGAAGCCCATATACAAACACAGACCGATCAACTCAGTCCAATCAACTACTGGATAATACAAGATTTGATTTCGATTTAAAATTTAACTCCTGGTATCTCGATGACAAATTTAAATTCATAACGTTTGAACTACTGGTGTTACAGCAACCTTGAAGAATATTAACTAATAATACTTATCCTTTTATTTTGAACTTTTGACATCCAATTGGGTAGTTAGTGAAGATTGATTAACTTCAAGGAAACATGCATCACAGACTAAAATCAGTAGGAAAGTCACAGCTAACCCCGGGGCACTGGACAGCTGCTTCGTCCTAGTATGGGACTCTCCATCAATGCACACCTATGACCCCAAAAGTAAACAAATGCAGGTCCATCAGGTGTCGTGGTGAGCACAATAGGTATTCAACTACTCAGTCAGAATCCAATGACCCATAATCTGTTTCTTCTGCCAAACTGCGATAAAAAGCGATCATCATACAATGCTATCAGAGAGTATTTTTCTTTCAAACCGATTCGGTTGAATCATAGGCCACGGTTTCTATCCAGGATTTCGGAAAATTCATCTGGCAGCCCGTCAGTTATCTGAATAACACAGGCTAGAAAGATTGTTTGATAAACAAATTGATGGGATATGTTAGCTGAGGTTATCATGTCATTGTTAATGAACTGTGGCACTGTGCTATTTGACTTGTTAAAAATCTCTTCATCAACCAGGTAGTTAGCAATTTTCATCCGATCTGGTTTATAGATTATTGTTTGTCCCTTGGGTTCCTAATAAAACATAGGGCTGCAGTAGTACGTCTCCAATGAACTATGTTCTCTGAAATCTTTTGAACCTGGTTCCACGACAGCCCATAACCTCTCATTTCTTCCTCGCACGATCTCCTCCATTTCACCCTCACCTCGGACGCCCAACTCGTCGCTTCTCATCGGGGTTCCACTCGAGGGCCTGGCCTGACGCGTGATGTCCCCAGTCGACCTTCTCAGCGTATGCTCAATCCAACTCATCTCCACTTTCTTCTGCATATTTTTGAGCGACAGCTTCTCAGTTGGTTCGTTCCCAGAGTTCCTTGTTACTTATTCTTTCTGGCCTTCTCATCTGAGCTTCAGTAACGAGCCAGCGTAGGCAGTTGTTGATGAATGTCTGTAGTTTGTTGGAAATCCCTATCCTAACGCGCCGAGTCTCTGAACCATATAGAAGCACTGACTTGACGTTGGTGTTGAAAATCCGAATCTTGTTCCACATGCTGGGTGCAGAAGATCTCCACACTGGTTTGTTTATAGATCATGAATAATAATCATACAGATACATATGGCCAAAGTTCAGGTCAGTTGGTGAATATCTAAGACCAGGAATCCGCTTTACTATAGTATGGAAAGTTATCTTAAATGATACTCAAACATGAAATCTTCATATTAATGAAGGATATTGTCAAGCAGTGGAATCCATGATGCGCGTTTAGTCCTATTTTGGACTGGTCAGGTGGATAAACCTGTCTCCCACTGCTGACCACTATCTATCATTAATATCAAACTGAAAATATTGACAAAATCGAGGCAGCCGCAAAAAGGTCCATATTTCAATAGTGGCAGGTCATTTCGAACCAGTCAAGTAGCGGAGATTCACAATTTTCGGTTTGAAAGCTACGCAAACCGGTGAGGCTAATTTCGGTAATATTTACCAGCTTATCAATTTCCATTGTAACAAACGAACAGAATAATATGTAATTTCATTGTCAAAGGCTAATTTCCTCATTTAATTAGTTTATTTTTGAAGACCTATATATAAGGCTTTAATTCTGATCATTAGACTGGTGGAATAAACTAGTACATAAGTATCTAAGTCTTGCCATATGCTGAATAAATTAGCAACACGTTTCTGGACATCAACTCTACCACCAGTGAAGAAGTAGTACAACGCAGACTGTACCATACACTGGTTTTCATGTGTTCATGCTATGAAGAATGTAAAGCTCGAAGTATCTTAAAGGAAATTTGCACGGTAAAGTCAACTGGCTTGTTTCGGTGCATTGCTTCATTGGACAAATACATCGATACTAAATTTGAGTATATTTTCGGATGAGTAGCAAGCAGTAGAATCACAAAGGCACATTTCATCCTCTTTAGAACTCTATGATAGAAAGTATAAGGTAATAAATGACGCTCACTAGTCGGTGTTCCCAAAAGGACTAATACTTAATACCAAAATAATTTACAATGACTGCACAATTCTTGACAGATATTTGTTACTGGCGGCCGTAATAACACAACCTTTTACTAGATGACAGTTTATTATTATCCTGGCTGTTCGAAACGATGGAAAGTTAGTGTATTTTCTATTTTGCCCAGTATATTAGATATTTACGATTCCAGCAGTTTCTTAATCAGGTGATCAGATATATTCAAATGTGAAAAGCGTCTATACAAACTAGGAAATTTCAGATACCCAGCCAGTTCAGTTTCAAATCAATCACGTAAATATTAGCCTTTTAAAGATTGAAACTGAAAAACTGGAGTGAAATGAGGTTTACTCTTTTTGAAAATTTCATCTTTTTAAGAACAACCAATCAAATCCGAATAACCCTTTAGTTGATGTAATGATTATTTTTTTCCATTTAAAGCAAGTGGTTGCATATAACAGAACTACAGAATTAAATTCTTTCAATTTAGTAGTTTGCATATTTACGCGTGCACGTGTGTGGATAAATATTTGAGTGTATGATAGATTGAAGCCTTTGAATGAATGATTGAGGTTGTGTATGTGGATGTATGCAATGCCACTTTATGGAGTTAATCACCGATTTACAACTCAGAACTCTTTCTCACATATATCTAGATATCTGCCTTTTTTTACCCTTCTTGTATTACTGTTCAATAACTTTATGCGTGCCTACTTCTACATCCACTTGCTGACTGACTGATTGACGAACAAACTAAATAATAACCAACGCTCTTTGTCTACCATCTGATTATGCTACTCCTTACAAACAAACTAACCCTATACATATATTCCTCAAATACATTTCAATTAATCAGCATTTTATTTGTTGACTAAGTTGTGATTTTGTTGGTGTTATCCAATTGTTTGCCTTCATAGTA